CACTCCCCTTGGACCCCTCACGGACCGTCCCGCCCCCCTGCACGCAAGTCATCCAATCCCACGCCTTGCCTGGTGAGAGCGCAGCCAACCGGAGCTCCCGCCACCGCCCGGCCAATCCCGTTTACAGACACCCGACCACTCGAGCTGTCCCACGGGCACCGCAGAGCTCCGCCCCCTTCCGAGCGGGCCGCTGTAACTGGGCGAGCCACTACTCGGGAGCCCCAGGCCACAAGCTTTGGAGACAAACCTGACTGGTGTCAGAGCAGGAAGATGAGCAAGTATACAAATGGGGTGGGGGAAAAAAAAAAAAAGACACTTCTGTACAGGTGGAGCACGTTAAGACCCAGAGTTTGCTGCAGAAGAATGCAACGATGGTGCAGCCTTGTCGTTCCTCTTTTTCATGACCCTCACACCAGATCAAACAGGCGCACGGGCCAAACCAGAAAGTCTGCAGCAGCTTTGGGTACTTATCGCTGCTTTTGTCAACCCGTCTCAAGCATTTCCTGACCACCGATTCCCAAAAAAGGAACAGCACTTGCTGGGCTGCTTTCAAGCTGAGCTCTGCGTAGCTCTCACCAGTGCTCATTCATCTTTAATTGACTTTGACTGATGCACTTGTGTTGTATTCTGCATTCAGCCCCCAATCTAAAAAAAAATAATTAAAATACCAGAGTTCAGGGGCCACCGTTACGGACAACTTCCCCTGCAGAATTTGCAGGAGAGCCTCCTCCACCTTTATTTTGGCACAAACACCTCTGATTGCTTTACGATGAGCGAGCAGGCAGGGGGGGGGTTATATCTGCCTCAGCTGGAAAACAGAAATCAATTAAATGCCATTATGAACTCAGTTGCAGCACACAAAAACACAACAAAGAGACTGATCTCCCATGAGCAGGGTTGGGAACTGCTGCACTAGACAACGCGACAACGGACTGCTTGGTCTCTCGCACTGCCAGAGCAGTTCAGGTGATAGGCCACTAACAGAGGGCATGGGGAGGATAAGTACCTGGCAACTCCCACCTGAGCTGTAAAACAGGTAGGGGCCAGACCCAGCTGCTATCAGCGCAATCAGGGGTGTAACCAGCAAACACATCTCACAGCACTTTATCACCAAGGGGAGCTCCACACTGAATCACTGGCTATAAAACTTTATTCGGTAAACCAGGCGGCTCTGAAGGAGCAGAGGCCAAGACACACTTCTAACTGGACCGGGGGGAGATTTTCTCTACCTTGATGCACCCCCCCCCCAGTTGAAAACTGCACACTGGCAAAACAACAAATCCGGTTTCCCACAAGGCATTGCAGTGGTTACTTGTGCAGCACGGAGGGAAACGGGCATCAGGAGATGCTCAACGTCACCGTTGGGCAAGCCGACTGAGCGAAATCTCTCAAGGAATTGACCTGCTGGATCGGCAGATAACTGCTGGATCAGCAGGTCAACTCAGGCGAGCAGGCAGTCTTTCCACAGGGCAGCTTCCATCTTTATTATTCCTTATGATGTCTGTCTGTCCCTTCCCACATCCCCCCAACCTGCAAATACCTTGGCTCTTCAACATCACACACAAGGACAGGAGGCCCACAAATATTATGTAGCACAGCAACAGCTCAGCTGCAATACTGAAGTAATGAAATAGCAGCTGATATACCCGTTATCATTCTCTAACTCCTTATTCCTGCACTGTAATATCCTTGTCCCACCATTCATATGCTGAAGAGTCTAATATTTTTTTATTACATAAGCTGATTCTAAAAGTCTAATAACTGATAGTGAAAAAACATAGACGCGACTGCAGAACATTCCACGGAAATGGTTTAAGAGTTTGGGGAATCTGTTATCTGAAGACGTTTTCGGACCCAATACCCTGGCTTCTTTCAAGAAACAGCTGGATGACGTTCTTTAACGAGGACAGGAGTCACGTCTTTACACAAAGGGTTGTGGGAATATGGAGCAAGCTACCCACACAGGTTGTGGAAGGCAACACTCTGGTTTCTTTCAAGAAACGGCCAGGAAGGATCAATTACTATCTATGAAATGGGCCAGACAGGTCAAATGCTCTCCTCTCATTTGTAATGTTGTGTTCTTATGGAGACAATGCCGATAACGTTTAACCATATTACACAACACAACAAAAGGTTTGAATAAAAATCCACACATTTTCGGTTTTCAAATTAAGAGATAAAACTGACTATCACCACCAATAATGACAGATGGGGGAAGAACGTTGATACGCCTTGATTAAGCCCAGAAAAAACGTTAAGGACCAGAATTTCGAACGCTGTTCTGTTTCAGTCGTTGACAGCTCTCGCAAGGACTACGCAATGCTGTGTGGGAAAACATACTGTTTCATTTACATGCAGTTTGAATACTGTTTTGAGTATTTGCATTTCAAAAAGCAGAATAAAATATCATTTAGTATGACGAGAGGCACATTAACCTCTTCGGTTCAACGTTTTTAAAAATATTTTAATGCTTCAAATGTAACTACTAAATTGGTGTTGCTCCATTAAAAAAAAAAACTTCAACCCTTTTCTGAGGCACTGGAAGTCAGTATTTCAATAGCTGGTACTGAGAGCCGAGGGAAATGTCATTTTCACTTAGATAAATCTGCATTTTTCCTCAGTTTCGACTCGATTCCAGCAAAGACCGCTCCTATTGTCCCAGAGATCCCAAACATACTCTTCCCAAATCCCTGGGTATTAAGCAGGGATGTGCAGAAATAATACAGCCGGGATTCCTCACTACTCACAGTGCACGCTGTCCTGAAACAAACATGTGAGCTATCACAACACATCAAACAATTCTTCTGCCGAGGGCCCGGAATAAACCCCTCAAAAATAGCACAATAAACCTTCTCCCAAAATACTAAGGCAGGTGCATGTTAACTTTATCTCGCGTTTATCTCAGCTGAGATGCCTATCAATGACCTTTATAGGGGTAAGCCCAGAATCTGCTTAACAAGCTGTTTCACCTAAACAAATGCTGGCCCGGGCAGTTCTGTCTTACTGGGTGCTCAGATGACAACTGAATTGCACGCGTTAAACATTACAGAGCTCGCTTCTGCAAGGGCCGTCCCATCCAGCCCACTGTAAAGAGGAGATTAATTGTTCACCCAATATAAGATCACTTTATTATTAACCCTATACAATTTCTTGCATTAGGAATTTGTCTTTTCGCATACCCCAGCTTGCTCTCCATGAGACACACAGACAGGGAGAGAGAAGCCTGGGGTCAGAGCGCAGGGTCAGCCATTGTACAGCGCCCCTGGAGCAGTTGGGGTTAAGGGCCTTGCTCAGGGGCCCAACGGAGTCGGATTCCTCTGCCGGCCAGTGGTCTAAGTTGCTCGTTTAGGCAAGTAACGTTTCAATGAACGTAGCAGTGGTCTAAGCGGGCTAAAAGATTGGAGTGGACTGGATTCGAACCGGCAACCTTCCAGCCACAGGCGCAGATCCTTCGCCACAGAGCCACTGCTCAACTCTGTTTGCTCAGGTCTCCAACCCCGGTCCACTCCAGTCCTTAAGCCCGCTGAGGCCACAGCTACGTTCATTGAAACATTACTTGTCCAAATGAGCAACTACATGACTGTTCCTGATCTTTACAAAGGGGGTGATTTAGTGTGACCTCAAAGAACAGCTGGGTTGGGGATGAAGAGAGGTCACCCGTGACTTCAGGGTGACAAGACCAGATCAACGTCCTTCCTCAAAGGTGGGACAGGCCAGGGGCTCCCCTCACAGGCTCCTGGGGTTCAGAACCCAGGAGCTTTTCCCCCGGAAGAAAGGATCAACTGACTCAATGAAGGTTTTATTGGTCTGATTTAACCCTTCAGCTGTTGGATCTCAAGAAAGCTGTGGTGCAGCGGGTTCGAATTTGCAGTACCAGATCGGTGTGTGTGGATGCTGCCTCTCTACGGGACTGCTACCTACATGCCACTATCTTACAGTTATACCAGAGACTCTCAGTGATCGACTATCCTGGTATATCGGACAAGCCCTCTGACGTGCGGTATGGACATGGTTAAATCAACAGCTTTCACCTGTCCACTACGCGTATCTGCTATTGTGTTTATCCCATAAACACTGCACTTTCATCACCCAGATGAAACATAAAATTCAGGGTTTTACAATATGTAAAAAAAAATAAAGAACAGATAACGGCTTGGAAGAATATATAAGACAGCGACCTTTTCTTTTGAAAACCGAAAGCGTTTTCCCCCCACTTGTTGAATGAGTGCAACGGAGCGTGTATTCTAGCCAGTAAACGACAAGATCTCTTTCACAGCTCGGTCAGAAAAGGGGGTTTGATATTTGACCCAGGTGTGAGTCGGAAGTATCTGAGGACCTAGTAACAATAAAAAGTACCTCAATCGACAATCTTTCAGGGATAGGCCAGTAGATGGATTTGTTTTGTGAATGTTATATATGACAACGTTCAGCTCCACCAAGAGTTTGCAAGCCGATCCTTGACAAACCCACCGCTTAGCGACAACAGCTGTCCTATCAGTCACCGGAGCTGTGACCCGTCGATTACATCGAAACGACATATTTCTAACACAGTTACAAATGGAGAGAGAGAAAAAAAGACCCACCCCGAGCGACAAGATGCAGCGATCGAGCGAAAACCACAAAACAAGATTTGTTCTCGTTAGGGTTTCGTGTTCGGACAACACACGCAGACAAGCAACGCTCGAGTGGGAAAAAAAAAGCCCGAACAGCAGCCGGACAACTTGTCAGAACTTGCTCAAACAAAGCGGAACTTCGTCCACTTTCATTCGGGATTATTTTCGCTAATGCGCTCGGTCTTTCATGGCCCTGTTGCAATTACAAGTACAGTAGTTCGGCATTTCCTACAGCGAGGCCATGTCGACATGAACTCCCGTGGTGCTCCCACTGACAACTCCGACAGCAACAGAGAAAACGTTAATAAAGATGATAATAAATTCGGGGTGTGACTCCCTACCCCCCACTCCCCCCCGAAAACCCGTCAAACAACGACGTGTACTTGCCTGCCAACTGTCTGGTTGGCGAGCTGTTTCATCCGATTGAATTGTTTCTTCATTTTTCAGATCCGTGATCCACTGCGCTCTTCACTTGTTGTTGTTTTTTTCCTCCTCTCCTTTTTTAAAGTTTTGTTTTCAGGAACAAAAAAAAATAAAAAGAGCGACCCGCCGCTGATACCCTTCTCCCCCTCAGCTAACACACGCGAGTCCAGGCGTCCCGCGTCATCTTAGCGTCCCAAAGGCGAAGGCTAACACACAGGTATGCGGTTCTTTTTTGGGTGGTGGTGGTGATGAAACCAATGTTGCGATTTGCCCGAGTGCTGTCCTGAACACTGTTACTTTATCTTCAACCCGGCCCTCTCAATCGGCGTCCGTCTGTTTGGCAAATTTACAAACCCCTAAGTTGCTTTAGACTAAACAGTGACGCCCCGGGAGTCGCACTAACAACAACACACCTTAACTTCTGCAAGCACAGACCAAGCGATACCAGCGCTCCGTACTGCAGGAAGTGCATGCACTATCTACTTCCCTATACTAAACAAGCTGGGGGAACATGTGATATAGTTGTGCGGACTGCAGACTCCCAGCCCTGTGCACCTCATTTAGTATTAATGAGTGATGCATATGAATATGCAACATTCTGACTGCGTGGAGAGCATCAATCGAAAACAACGGTAATACATGTTTTTTTTTTTTCTCAATTAGGAATACCCATGTGTTTTCTTTCTTTTAGTTTTTGTTTTACTGCTTTCTTTATTACTCTCTGCGCAGCGTATTGTAGTCGAATCATTACACACGAAGTAAGCTCAAAGTTTTTAAGAACAAAAAAAAACCCATGTATTTATCTTCATGTAGCTAACACGTTGTAGCTGAACTGGGTTCAGTATTGTAGAGTCGATGTAAGCTCAAAGATGATTACCCGGACTGCATTTTAGTTTAGTGAAACATTTTTTAAAAAGGCTTCGTCATTCAAATGCATAGATAGATTATCCATAGATAAGAACTATCCGCCCTGCTTTGATATATCTGCTTCAAGAAAATGAATCTCATTATAGTATTAAAGATCGTCCGTACTCTGACTTTACTATTTCCCATTTGCTGCTAATGAACTTTCCTGCTAATGCAAAAATTGACAAAGCTCGCCTCCCAGAGTTTGCTGTAGTAAGTGAACTAACATTTCACTCAACTGTTGTAGTAATATCAGTCTCCAATTACATAAGAACAGAGTAGCCTCTACAGATGAAACCATTACGTTGTTTTTGCTCTGTCTCCCACTGTCATTTTACAGCTGTGCCTAGCTCATCTACACGTACTCTAGCATTATTTGAAATTAGTCAAGTGTGTTAGTGCGCCGTAGACAACGAAGTACAGAAACCTCAAACATGGCCGAACACTTTCAGGAATGTAGATAATCATTTTTTGGTGTGCTCGGGATCACAACGATTGATTATCGTCCACATGAGCAATAGCTCACATTCACAGGAGAATCTGGGGCGGAGCATATGTGGAGGGTGGGATTTCCGTTTTGATCGCTCCAATCAAATCAATCCGCTGAGCAGGAGCCGGCCAATAGGAGGCTTCTTTGTTAGAAAACGTCAGAAGCGGATGTTGGGACAGGAAGCAGTACTGTCGTTCTGTAAGAAGTTGGTGTGTTGTGTAGGGGTAACTGGTTGAAAAGGGAATGTCTTGTTATTTCTTTTTAAAATCGTGAAAGGATAAACCATTCAGCGTTGACTGTGTTCGAGTTGTACTTTGTGACCACCAGCGCTCCGGCGGGTTAGTTCCGGACATTATAAAGGGATTCCAGTGGGTGAAATTGGAGAGGCGTGGTTATATTTAATTTAGCTGCGGCTGGTGTTTTTTTTTTAGCAAACGACGTTTCTGTGGTGCCTTTCTGTAAATGATGGCTACCCGACAACCCATAACAGATTCCGACACTGCAGATGAAGCGGTGCGAACTACCTGCGACGACGCCTCGGTGTGTAAAAGGTAAAGATCCTGATGTCTCATTTTCACGTTGGAGCAGTAGTGGTAATTGTGAACCCCGTTGTGTAATGTTGTTAAATCTGTGCTCGAAGTTACAGGCACCAATAGCCATGGGAAAAAAGGTTGAGTGTTCGGTTAATTCACATTAAATGTAGAATTGAAAATGCCATTTTGTACGGGCTGTCTAATCTAAATGCAGCAGAGTTGTCAGCTCAGCTGGAGTAACATCGTCCGGTCACAGCTCTCTGGGAAGTTCGTTTTACAAGGGAACTATTAGGACGTTCCTACATGATTTCTCCTGTCAATATTCCGACGGTAAATATTTTGATGTGTCTAGTCTAAACAGAGTCCTAAGCATGAACCAATAACATCCTCCGCTGGGTGGAACTGTCTCTTGACATTTTCCAAAGAAATTTGGCATGAAGGTGTGACAGTGCTGCTGGCTCCCAGCACGTAGGTCCTGGGTTGACCGGCCAGGGAACCCTCTGTGTGGAGTCTGCATGTCTTTCATTGTCCACATGAGTGTGCTCCCGTTTCTTCCCACCTCTGAAATGTCCCTATGTGTGTCCTGTTCAGCTGTACTCCCATTTTGTATCCTACGGTTTTAGGGTAGGTTCTAGGTTTCTATGACATTTATCGGTCCTAAGGCGCTTTTGTACAGTAATCTTAAACATCATTTTGCTTTCTGTGTGATCTGCAGGTTTGCAACCAGTAAAGGCTATTGGAAAGATCCGTACATCCAGTATTTCGTGAGACAGACCAGTGAACGAAAGGCCCCGGAAATCAACAGAGGCAAGTCAGTGACCTGCTCACCCTGAATCCCAGTTCTCTCGAAACAGCACATCGTTCCTCCTGCTAACCTATAAAAGGTGTACGTGTTGTCGTGTGAAGCTGTCAAGGGGAACGCAGTGAAATCAGGACAGTGGCCACACCACCACACCTGAAGCTGGAGATATTCCTCAAATAGTGCAGTTTTCGAGCTGCAGTTGTGGTGCGGAGATGGTCTGTTTCGTGCTGCATGAAATGTCAAGAAATGCTTTACAGTCCTGGAGTGCAGCTGCTTGCAGACTGAATCGCTTGGTCTAGTCTGCGCCTTGAGGGCCACAGTCCAGCAGGGTTTGTTAGGTCTAAATCATCAGCAGTCCAGGAGCTCAGGAAGAGGGTGGAATGGGCTCAGTTAAAGCTTGATTGGATGTGTACATTCTCCCAGTCACAGGTCTGAAGCTTTAGATGATTTAAGGCAGGGGTTTGCAAATCTTATCCTTTGCAAGGAGAACTGCTGTCCTGCATGTTCTTTAAACCCTTTCAGATCTAATTGAGCTAATTATTAGCTCAATCGGATTGATCTAACAGCTTTCCCTGGGTCTTTTGGGCTTTGCTGAATTAAAGAGACTGATAAAATGTCCATAAATTCACCCGTACAGGTCTGAATTTGGGAGCTCCTAATGAAGACCTATGGACCTGGTTTGCCCTTGATGAGTAGAATTGGCAAGGTTATGTCTGTTTAAGTATTACACAGCCCACTGTAGCCTGAAAATACGTTTGGGCATAACCCAGTGTATCAGTATGTACTGTAGGTCTTTGGTAATGTGTGTAATGGTTTTCAGTTAGAAGCATTAACAGGCATGGTATTGAATCAGACCCGGGGTGGTGTGATATTGTGATTTTTCCACTTATTGTTGCTGCCACCTGGTGGTAGCCCTATGAATTCAGTGAAGCATCTTGTAACTCAAATCGCAGCTCGATTATTCCTGTTATGTAATGGGTGCTGTGAATCATATTGTGTTCATAGAACATGCAGCCTTCTGGATCCAAGTGCCTTAAGATTAAGCATGTGTGTTGAATTCCCAGCAGTCCCGACACGTATCTGCCTTCTCCCTCTCTCCCAGGCTACTATGCTCGAGTACACGGTGTGAATTTCCTCTTGGATGCCTTCATCAGGAAGACTGCATGCAAATGTCAAGTGATCAACCTGGGTGCTGGTCTGGACACCACATTCTGGAGACTGAAGGTACAGTGGTCACACTGTGGCATTAAAAAAACATTCAGCCCATGAAGCGAAATTAAAGTTCATCATCTATCTGTGGCAAGGACTTACCTTTCATTCAGGGCATTAGATGCAGAGTAATAGTGATAATCAAAGTTTTTCATATAGTTTTCTCTTACTTGCTGTAGCTTCTAAAGCTGTTTTAGAGAGATATGTCTCTGTTGGCACTAATGAAGGCTGGAGTATAGTCTTAGGTTGAGGAAAATCTAACCCTTAATTGGTACCAGAAAGTATCAGTTGGTAAATATGATTATTAGTGTTCAGTATTGAGATGTCTGCCTTTCTTATTGGTCCATGCTTTTTGTAATCTGTAGGACCACATCTAGCATGACTTCAATGTCCCTTTTTTCGTCTTCAAAACACAGGATGAAAATCTCTTGCCTAAAAAGTATTTTGAAGTTGACTTCCCTATGATTGTTGCGAGGAAGATCCACAACATCAAGTAAGACCACTGTTATTGACCTTCTCCTAAAGTGAAGGGTGAGATCCGGTCAGCCTTTGACTGATGGATTCCTTTCTACATGCGGAGAGGCCGAGAGGAAATTCAGGAAATCCAGACAGCTGCGCTGTGGGGCTGGTACTGGGTTATCGCCATCATGTGCAGATGTGTCATTCTGAAAGTGCCCAGTAGAGGGGGTGTAGCTCTATGTCTTGGATATGCGTTTTAGTGCTTTATAGAAGACCAATGTTATTCGACTTTGTCCAGTTTTTATTTCTACCCACTCGTGCAGCTGGGAATTATACTGAAGCAGTTTGAATGAAGTATCTTGCTCTAGCGTTTGACAGTGGGACCTCTCCCAGAATTTGAAGGGAATTTGAAGTTGGTACAGCTAACAAAAACAGGATGGTGTGTGAAAGCACTAACTTTTTATTTCCAAAAACAAATCAAGATTATCAGTTGTACTGTTTTGTTTGTGGTACATTGAGAGTTTTGGCTTCATGCAAATAATGGGGACACAACTCTGAGTCGCTGCTACAGACAACTATCCCTGAAACCGCACCACAGAAATGGCACGTCTAGGTCATGGACCTTTTCGAACTTGGGTATTGCATCACAGTCCTTTACTATCTTGCATGCTCTTCCTTAAACATGTGTTTGGCTGTGTAATACTGACAACACAGATCGCTCAATTCAGGAGGCTTCTAAAACGTCCCTGCAGACTGCAAATGCGATCTGATACTACTGTGTCTTCAGCTTTTTTTTTTTAGCCTGAAGCAATTTTCTAAAGCATGGGGCTCAGAAGCTGAATCTGAGCGCAGAGTCGGACATGGCCGCGATGTTAGTGTATGGCAGAATGAGAGCAGCCCTTAAACACTGGACACCAATCAGTCATGCGCAGATATTATTACGTTTTTTCAAAGATCAAAGTATCCCTATTTATTGGAGTTTTGGGATTTAACAGTGACAACCAAAAAGTGTAAGCTGGAAGGTTGATATTTTTTGTTAATGTGGCTCATTCATAGCTGCTCTCTTGAAAGCACTCCGACCTCTTCCTGGCCTGCCTTGGGGGTTGGAAAATGTGGTTTTCTGGGCATGTCTGAATGCATTGCTGGGTCACTGTACTGATGCTATTATTACTGTCAGAGAACATGCTGACCCATTTTTTTTGATAACTCCATTTATTTTTTTCTTTTAGCATTTTTCTTTTCATAGATTTCTTGTAGGATCACACACTTGACATGAATGATGTACAGTGTGAAGTGCAAGGGAGATAAAAAAAAACAACAAGATATTCATTTCTCTTTCCTGTTTTGCAGAACCAAGCCTCCTCTGTCCAAACCAATAGTAGAAACACATTCTACAGATTCACTTCTAATTGGTAAGAATAAATAAGCCTGTTAATTTTGTGTAAATCTGGGCTTTTGAGGTTAAAAAGCAATACAAGAAAATGTAGGCTGTAATAATAACCAGTTTTTCCCTATTAACCGTGGAGATGTTTCAGAGATGTCTCGCTTGTTCTTAAAACTGCTTGTTTCTTTTGAAACTAAGGCAGAAGTATTTAAATCCCAGCAATGTCCACAACTAAAAGCCATCAAAGTTATCGTTTTGATGATTGATGGCTGCCATCTGTATTGAAGGAGAACAGGTGTGTGATGCTGGTCATGTTGTGTTCACATCAGTCACATGCTCTCTACATCCTTGTGACAGATGGCCACAGTCTGGACTCGGACCGGTACACCATCATCGGCGCTGATCTCCGGGACCTGCCCGGACTGGAGGAGAAGCTCAAGAGATTCCAGATGAGCCCAGAGTGAGCTTAGTTTCCTAAGCTCTCTGTCCCCTCTTTCAACTCATGCTAACTCATACCCTGTTTTCCTGCCCCCGTTTTGCTGTAATGAATACCCTGTTGCTCTCCTCTCCATCATTAATACCTCATTCCCCCTTGATTCTATGATCCTGAGTGATCTCGGGTTTGTTCCCCACCCAAACGCCCCCCCCCCCATGCTCACACAGAATGTTCTCACTCCTGTCAGTCTGTGTGATGGACCAATCTGGAATAATATTATGAACCGTGAAGTATTAATGTCCTGTAAGAGATTGTTTTTTTTTAAGCAGGAGAGGATACATTGGCCAGTAATGAGGAACTGCAACATATTGCAAGGAAATGTAAAAACCTTAGCTCAGTGATGTCCATTCTTTTAAATATGCTGTAGCCCCATATTTATTTGCTCATGTTTTGGCCTTTGTGTTCCTGATAAGATATGAAGGCTGTCTCAGGAAAATAAATTTCCCAAGTGTACTTCAGTCTACGTGTGGATCGTGTTTCACTTTTTCCACTCTCCAAGCCAAATCAAGGTTTCGGATTTATCATCATAGACAGTTTGTCCCTTCCTGCATTCAATAGGCTGTATTGCTTTTGCAGATTGAGCTATATGATCACAATGTAGGTTATTGCCCTTTCTAAATGGTTTACAGTGAGGTTATCTGAGAGTTATATCACACGTGATAAAATGCAAGGTAGGCCAGGAGTAAAAAAGCAGCCATTGTAAAAGTTAGGATTTGTTTCAAAAATTTTATGTGAAGATGCAGTTCTTAATCAGGTCCTTTAATGGCACTGAACATCTGATCAGTCACTGCCTGGAACTTTTGCACCTAAGGTGAATGTTTAAAAGGGAGCAGTCTCGCAGTGAATCACATCATTGTTTTTAATTAGGCAGCACAGTCAGCTGTCGCTCATCAGAGTCAGGCTTGTCCGTGCGGTGAGGACAAGCAGCCCAGATCTCAGTTTAAGTAAAAGCTGTTGCAGGCAGGACAGCCTAAGTCAACCATCTGATTTGCAGGGAAAGAAGCTGTTTCGACAGAGATTCAGGCGGTACGGTTGAAGAGCTTAACATAACATAACAATCTAACATCACTCTATTAGCCCTATACAATTTCTTGCATTAGGAATTTGTCTTTTCGCATACCCCAGCTTGCTCTCCATGAGACACACAGACAGGGAGAGAAGCTTGGGGTCAGAGCGCAGGGTCAGCCATTTCTGCGGCGCCCCTGGAGCAGTTGGGGTTAAGGGCCTTGCTCAGGGGCCCAACGGAGTAGGATTCCTCTGCCGGCTGCGAGATTTGTCCCGGCCACCTTCCAGCCACAGGCGCAGATCCTTAGCCACAGAGCCACCACTCCGCCCTTAGTCGGTGTCCATTTTGCTTTTCTGCTTTTGGTGTGTGCTGTGCATGACAGAGAATGAGCAGTGTTGTTTTGTTTCATTTCTCCTTCCCCTCTTCAGGCTGCCCACGCTGTTCCTGTCGGAGTGTGTGCTGGTGTACCTGACCCCACAGCAGTCCTCCAGCCTGGTGCGCTGGGCAGCAGAGACTTTCCACACTGCCATGTTCGTGAACTACGAGCAGGTCTGTGCTGCCCACTCCCATTGCAGAGATATGGGAAATCTTCAGCTTGTTTTTTTTTTCCAGTGACCCCCCTCGCTCAGTAGTCTCAAAATGGCAATCAGCTCATCTCGCTGTTGAGACCCTTTTGGCAAGCACGACAAAAGGAGAGCAATGAGACCCTCACCAGGTCCACAGGAGAGTTAGTTCAGAGACGGGACATCGATAGGGCTCTGTCACAGGGAGGGCAGGAGGGGTGCCCAAGTGAGTCCTTTTAAAACAGAATGATGGCTCAGCTGCAATAGCACTTAGGTGCAAAAGTAATGATTTATTAGGACAGTGCTCCCCACAAACTAACAAACAATTATATATAGCAAAAAAAACAACAAAATGGAACAAATATACACACAAAAATCATAAACCCTTCCTCTAAGAATTAGAGACCAGGAGCCCTATCACACTTAAGTTCATGCATCCACGTTCCTGTCAGCTAGCTAGCTCATGAGGGTGCACACTCGGGGCTTGGCTAGCAGTTTCCCATTTCATACACGCAAAACTGTACTGTACCGTCTGCGGACGGTTACGGAGATCCCTCTGTCACAGGCTCACTTGTCACCCTGCAAGTTCACAGAGGTTCAGCCAGCCCAGGATGCCCCGAGAGACCCGGTCTGGGGAGTTTTAAAATGAGCCATGGTTTATTCAAGCCCCTGTGTGAAGAAGGCATTCCTGTGACAGACATCGGTTGGCACATCATCCTCCCTGTCCTTTGTCAAACTAGCCACATCAGACCCTTTACTCACCCCCTTCCTCTTTCACAGAATCGTTTTTACAAATTCTGCTACTTCACCACAAAAGATTATCCCCACACAGGTTCTTACTACAAAGAAATATCATTATTGTCATGAAACATGACTGCTTTGACATTAGGCACCAAGACGCAACATAATAGTTACTTCAGAGGCCAAACGCTTGAAGATAAGCGCAGCAGGCCAGTAGCCCAAAATTCTGATGTGGAGAAAACATCAGGCATGGTCCCCCCCAAAACGAGGTGCCTTGACCTCTGACCCCTTTCCCGTGCCCGCAGGTACATATGGCCGACCGCTTCGGGCAGGTGATGATCGAGAACCTGCAGAGGCGGCAGTGTAACCTGGCGGGGGTGGAGGTGTGTCGGAGCCTGGAGGCACAGGTACGTCTCTCGTCCGCACAGATGAGTTCCCCTGGTGCCGCGTTCCTCTCGCAGGGTGGTCAGATAAGGTAACAGAGCAGAAAGAAACCGCACTCTCGACACCTCAGCCTGTAAGACAGCCTTATCGCCTTGTTGACCCTTAGCAATACATTTCTACTTTGTGTCAGAAGCTGAGTGTTTGTTTTTTTGTTTGTTTTTTCGTGCCTCTAGTTTGAATGCACTCAGCAGTTCTCACAGCATGGGACTTAAATCTGCAATGCTGAATGAGCACCAAGAAGGAGTCCTCACATTTCGCCACTGCCTTAGCACAGCACAGAGACCTCCTGCTCATGGACAACTGTCTTGTTGTTTAATAAGCAGCTTTCAAATTGTATTTGATATTTTTGTGTTCATAAATGCAGACGTGCACCCAACATATTCGTCTATGCATTTGACTTCCTTCAGTCATCTCCGCGCACTGGGGGTTATAGATTGCAATGAGTGACTCCCTCTGCATTTCAGAAAGAGCGCTTCTTGTCAACTGGCTGGGAAACTGCAGACGCTCTGGACATGATGACAGTGTACAGTCTGCTTCCACAGGCCGATGTGGGAAGGTAGGGCCCATGTACCGTATCTCAGTGTGCCGGTCTCGGTGTCAGGAGCATTGTCTTATTGTAAACAGGAGTTTTTTATTAAAGTGCCATGTATTGTCCATAGCCATTCAACTTTATCAGTAGAGAAAGTGTCAATATTGACGCTAAGTTCATACCAGTGTCTGGCATTATCTCTTTAATGATTTACTAGATAAGGACAGTCAAAAACCATTAACTGCACTAAATCCTTTGGTAGGGCAGGTGGATAGGATGCTGTAGCTCTATTGGTTCGGCTGTCCCTGTGGACCTGGGCTTGTTGTTCAGGTGTTGACCTTAGGGGAGTGTATCTTGCTGATACACCCAAGACACATGTGCTCCTTTCTCACTGCTCGGCAAACAGCCAGAGCATTCCTCAAGAGTGCTTAGGGTTCCCAGTGCAAGGCCACACTGTGCTCGCTAAGATCAAGAACGTTATTGATTTGTTTTTTTTGTTCCATTCTGTTTTGCTCTTGCCCTAAAAAAACAAGGTAAAATTGACAAGGGGATTCTATTTTGCTGCACTGTCTGCTTTGTAATCTGTATGTACCAAATTCCCCCTGAGACGTACAAATTCCTGCTGCTTCTTTTGCTTTTGTCAAATTCCTGCTGCTTCTTTTGCTCTCGATTAAGCACATCCCTTTCCTGCAGTGCTTCAGATAACAGTGAGAAAAACATACAGCCCTTCATCACCTTTTCAGGGCTAGACAGTACATCAAAGTTAATCCAGCTGGATCTGGAGAAGACAATGCAAAGGCTTTTCAATAGCAGAGTAAAATCCAGTGGCTCTTTGCAGCAAAGCACATCCTGGTTACTGTAATGTTAAAGTACACTGAGAGCATGCAATTCACACCCTGGATGGGACGCCGGCTCATCACAGGGATTACCCCTCACTTAGACACCTGATGTACTGGAATCATTGGGGTGAAGTACCTCACTCAAGCTGTAACAGCAGGGACTCAAACCCACAAGTCGTCAGCTACAAGTTTAGAGTAGAATAAAGGGCAATAAATCTATTCTGATACAACTGGATTATTGCCAAATCTCCTCTGATCTTGAAAACCCCCTCCATTCCCTGCAACTTTCCATCTGTGTGGAGTGGGTATGATCGCTATTCACACTATCCAGCTCTTAAACCTCGGCGCTTGTCCTTCTTGTATTAGGTGCTGTGAGAGGAAGGGGAAATAACGATTTAAGTGTTAGCCCAAGAAAGACAGAATGACATAGCTCTGCCTTATAAAACATCTGCCCAGCGTTGTACATGCAAAGGGATTTGAGCACTGTGGATTTTGGGTATGGGTGTGGCCTGGAATATGACCATCGGTAGCCCCATATGAGGGCTACCAGTCAGTGATAACCAGTTAGCAGCTCTTCTGTGTTTTTTTATGAATTGCAAATGTATTGATGATCATCCAGCAGGAAGCAGTATATACATATTACTCAGGCTGATCTGCTCAGCGATAGTTACTTAAGTTTCAGGAGTAGAAAGAGGATTTTTAAAATAAAGGGGATATGTTTATTTTTTAATTTGCTAGAATCGGTTGTGTACCGAAACTACAATGCTGCTTTGGCATTTCTTTCATGCTAACAATACTTGGCATAAATGATCGTGTTTGTGTAAGAACCAACATATAGTAATAATTCATCTGGGTAGCTGCATGTGTACACACCTCAAGAAGGCTCCAGGGCCGAAACGTTGTGTTCTCTTTCTTCATTTTTTCAGCATGGAATAAACCTATTACTTGTTCCATATAGTAAGAATACTTGCTTACACTTATATAGCGCTTTTCTGGATACTCCACTCAAAGTGCTTAACAGGTAATGGGGATCCCCTCCACCTCCACCAGTGTGCAGCCCCACCTGGATGATGCGATGGCAGCCATAGTGCGCCAGAACACTCCCCACACATCAGCTATCAGTGGGGAGGAGAACAGAGTAATGAAGCCAATTCACAGATGGGGATTATTAGGAGGCCATGATTGGTAAGGGCCAATGGGAAATTTGGGCAGGATGCCAGGGCTACACCCCTACTCTTTTTGAGAAATGTCCTGAGATTTTTAATGACCACAGAGAGTCAGGACCTTAGTTCTACGTCTCATACGAAGAATGGTGCCTTTTTACGGTATAGTGTCCCTGTCACTATACTGGGGCATTAGGATCCACACAGACCACAGGGTGAGCGCCCCCTGCTGGCCCCACGAACACCTCTTCCAGCAGCAACCTATGTCTCCCATCCAGGTACTGACCAGGCTCTCACCTGCTGAGCTTCAGTTGTGAGTTGCAGGGTGATATGGCTGCTGGCATATGTTTGTTTTCCCAAGAGCGTGTTATGATAGATCAATATTTCGTGTATTCACTTTAATTTCAGAATAGAACGCCTGGAGTTTCTGGATGAGAAGGAACTTCTCCAGCAGTTACTGCAGCATTACAGTATCTGCTGGGCTACCAAAGATAAGCTCAAACTAGGTAAGTGAGAGTACCAGGGAGAGGGAGAGCTGGGGCTTCTTTTGAAGCACTGCCACGGCAGCACAAGAAGACATCAGCTTCTGCCACCTTTATTTGGCACAAATGTGAAATTCTTGCCTCTCGATGACGCATGATGTATAATCTCACCCAAGCAGGCAAATGTACATTTGTTGTGACAGCAGGCTGAAACTTTCAGGTTCTAGATACAGTGAGCCAGAGTCCATGCTGGCACCTAGTGGCTCACACATCTGGATCACAGCTGGAGCCGTCTCTGTAGTGTTAACTGGACTGAGATGTTCTTGAAACCCCTCCCCCAGGTGAGACACAGGTCCAGTGGAGGGTCATCCCTATTTATACAATACTGGTAGACTG